CTGACGCTCTTTCATCTTGGGAGAGTCCAAGGAGAAGGGGCCACTAAGACTATTAGTGAAGAAGAGCTTCTGATGTCACTTTCCACAAGGAAGTGGATTCCCAGCTGGATGGCAGGGAAGCCAGCCAGTGCCTCATCACATGCTTCTCTTTCTTTTTTTTTTAAAATAAATTTATTTGTTTTATTTATTTATTTTTGGCTGCGTTGGGTCTTCGTTGCTGCGCCTGGACTTTCTCTAGTTGCGGTGAGGGGGGACCACTCTTCGTTGCAGTGCGTGGTCTTCTTTCTCATTGTGGTGGCTTCTCTTGTTGCGGAGCACAGGCTCTAGAGTGCAGGCTCAGTAGTTGTGGCGCACGGGCTTAGTTGCTCCGCGGCATGTGGAATCTTCCCGGACCAGGGCTTGAACCCGTGTCCCCTGCAACGGCAGGTGGATTCTTAACCACTGTGCCACCAGGGAAGTCCCACATGCTTCTCTCTTATGTCATCCCAGCGGACACTGAGGCCTCAGCTTCCCTGAGGTGTCAGTGCCTGCCCTGTGTCCAGGCTCCCAGAGGGCCCCCAGGGGAAAGGTGTGCAGGTTGGCCCTGGCCAGCTCTCCCCTGGGCTCTGCCAGTGCAGTTCCTCGCTGCCTTCCCTCCAAGTATCCTTACCTGGCAGGAAGCAGAGATGACTCAGAGGCAGCTGGTTCTAGAGCTGGAACCTGGGTCTCTGTCCGCCTCTCCTTTGGATGGGTCTGAGTAAGAACTAGGACTCCTCACAGGGGAAGAAGATCCATTGCTGCATCACACTTGTGGCTGGGACCGACGGAAGAGAGAGGGCTCTACAGGCCTGTCCAGAGCCATTGGTGCCAATAGGGGATGGTGTGTGAACTGGGAACTTGGAAGATGGTACATGGGAAGTGCAGATAGAACCAAACCTCAGCACACTGACAGCTACTAAAAAAAAAATTTTTTTTTTCAGGAACTTCCCCCTGCCTGTGATCATCTCAAGGTCTTATCATGTTATCTTATCTACCCAGTCTGCTTTAGTCAGACTAATCTCTCCAGTCTTCTGATTTTCTCCTGCCCCCACGCTTGAGTGAAACAGCCTCCTCATAGCAAGTTCCCAGGCTTCAGAGTGAGCTCTGGGTTTCCAGGCCCTGGCTGCATCACTTTCCCCTGCTCTCCTTTCCCTCCCCATGGTACGTAAACCAATCAAACCCACCACTCAAAACACAAAACAGATACCCTAAGTTATTCATCGTGATAGTGGAAGAAAAATACTCACTCCTGGGTGACAGGGTATGTATTTTAAACCTGATTGCTCTAGTGTTGGCTTTTAACCACTCTTAATGACTTGAGGGGTTGAATGTGACATATGATTCTAAAGTATTAAGACTGGTTTTAAATAGACAGACTTTAACCATCCAAGAAAGCAAAGCCCTTTTAGGGGGTGGGGCTACACGCTAAACATTGTTGCTAATACCAAAAATCTTTCAGAATCCTCTCAGGAAAGACAGAGCACTGGGTTAAGAGTATCAGATCTTAATTACTACCTGGGTGATGTCGGGCAGGTCCTCTAATCTTTTTGGCTGTTTCCTTGGATGCAAAATGACGATAATAATAGTGTTTAGGTAATGCTGTTGTGAGAATTAATTGGACGAACAATGAAAAATGCTTGGCTTAGGACTTGGCTTATGCAACAGCTCATTAAATGGGGCTGCTATTATCATGTCATCTCCTGATGCATGAGACTCATTTCTTTACACTTAATGGACTGCTCTCTCAGGCCTTTCTTCCTTTCTCGATGCTTAATCTGCCTACCTTCTGCGTGGTCCTTTATTCTTTAAGCACATATCTCTGGGACATCTCCCACCGCACAGTACCAGGCACTGGCTTTGCACATAAAACAGAAGCGGTCCAGGCTCTCCTGCCGTGATCAGTCTCGGATGGCCACCCCCTTGCAGGCACTCTGCACTCCAAGCAGACCCGGCTCATTGTTACTTTCGGACTCTAGGCCTTTGCACTAGTTCCTTCATTTTACCAGCGGATTCTTTTTCTCTTGTAGAATTCAATAAAATCACATTTTATGAGTTTATACTGGTTATTTTTGGGTTGTGGGGCTTGAGGTATTTTGTTATTTTCGTTTTTGGACCCATTGTTTGAATTATTGCAAAGATCAAGTGTCATTTTTTTTTTTTTTTTTCCGGTACGCGGGCCTCTCACTGTTGTGGCCTCTCCCATTGCGGAGCACAGGCTCCAGATGCGCAGGCCCCGCGGCCATGGCTCCCGTCCCCCGCATCGGCAGGCGGACTCCCAACCACTGCACCACCAGGGAAGCCCAAGTGTCATTTTTATAAAAAATAAAATTGTTATTTAAAAAAATGTGCCCTAAGCATCACCACTTCTGTGAAGCCTTTTGCACCTGGAACTGGATTCTTGCTCTTCTGTGTCTCCATGGCACCGTGTGTAATAGCACCTCTCAATTGTTAGGATTAGTTGTTTAAATGTGTCTCTCCCCAAGTAGACTTTGAACCCTCTCAGGGCAGAGACTGTGTTTTAATTTATTACATCTCTGGCATTTGGCATGGTGCCTGACTGGAGAAGTTCTCTCAGGTGCTTATTGCTGCTGTGAATTTATGACTTAAGTGTGTAACAGGGTGAGATATTGAGAAAGAAATGAGTGTCCTCGTCTTTTTCCTGCTGTGCAGTAATGGGCCAAAAGACAAAGCCATCTCTGCACTGCTCTCCCTGCACCTCACAGGAAGGGCAACCTGAGGTCCTGTGTCGGGTCTCCTTTGTCCTAGGAAGGGGTTAAGAGTGGCTTTTGTATTTCTGGGCCCCCCAAAATGCCAAAATTGCCCCGTGTGAAAGACAACTGCAGCCAGGCTTTGTTTTTGAAGGTCTGGGGGCTGGGACAGTGCAGCAGGATGACAGCTGGAGCCTTAATGGCCGCAATCCCACCCCTCTACGC